AATTGAGTCAGGAAGTTTTCAAATTCTATTTTAATTTTATTTGTTTTTTAGAATGTCTATGTTAAAGTCTCCAGTCAAGATTACTTTTTTTTGGAATATGTCATAAATTTTCTTAATATAGTTTCTAATTTTTGATAAAACACATTGTAATTATTTTTAGGTGTGCGATATATACAAATAATCCAGAATCCAGTACGTACGCATAATGACATGTTTCTACATCTATACATAGTAAATTATTGAAGGTCTCAACACGACTGTTGAACATGATATTAACATTTTTCATATATTTAAAAGTGGGTAGACCAATTATAAAATTAGTGTGATAAAGAGGTAGTAGTGTTTTACGAATCTGTTCAACAAGTTCTAGGTAGTTTTGTGTTACTTTGAAATTTTCTTCACCGACAAAGATAATACAAAAATCTGATTTAGTAAAATGTTTGACCTTTTTGTCTATATTATCCAGTAATATTTCTAAGTTACAGTTCGGCTTACGAAAGTGGCATATTTCATGGGTGTTAAGTGAACCATTGCTATCTATTATTTTACATATTCTACTTCTGTTATCGCTGCTGACGATACATATTTTTTGTTTGGAATGTGCCTGCGGTAAGTTTGTTTTAAAATTATTGCTTGATACCGACGATACTCCATTATTAGGTGACGACGTACAGGTTATCTTTAAGCTATCATTTGTGCTTTCTCGGCGGTCGGAACAGTTGTTTTTGATTCCGGTTTTTGTTTATGTTTGTTTGGTGTTTTTCTTTTGAATCTTGTTAGGTGTTGCTGGATTTTTAAATTTAGCTGGAGAACTAGCAATCTTTTTGTAAAGGTTGTTCTTTCGCGATAGTTCTTCATTATTCTGTTTCAGCCTGCTATTTTCCAACGTTAATACTTCAATTTCCTCATGAGCACTATTTAGTTGGGATGTCAATTCTTCTATTCTATCCTGTAAAGATTTCATTTGAGTGTTGTCTTCATCCTCCGACATTTCGGGCATACTATTTGTTGTGTAATTTAAAGTTTGAGACGTGTTATGGGTATCGTCATTTTCCGATTGTCTGCTGCGGTTTCGGTTGCGACGGAATGTTATGTTATCTAAGAAATTCATACTTATATATTCTTCATTCAGTGTAAACAAATAATTTTGTTTTATTATTATGTATGTCTTTACCATTCAAGGGACCACAGGGTCCCGGCCGAAGCCAACTGCGCAGAGGCCCTTTAGACAACTTTAATATAAATGTAATGGACACACAAACCGGCGACCATCCCTGTATGCACTATGGAAATGCACCCAAGGACAGTCCCCGGTTAGTGTAGGACTATTGTGGATAATGGAAAAACAAAAAGAGTAGGGCTATGGATGGGTCGCTGTGGACTGGTAAATTAGGAACTAAGTATGGATGACTATGGCACCTGCCGAAACAATGTAATTTTTACACGTAAAAATGGCAGGCGGAGACTCGCCAACTCACCGACCGGGCCCCGGGAATGGTTGCTAGATATAGCAACAGAGGGGCAACGAGAATGTGAGTGGCTGAAGGGTTAAGAAACTACCACCGCTTTCTACTCAGATCATCTGCTCCAGCCGAAGCCTCCTGCATCCCTGGCCCACTCGCAACTTACGAATAGTTTCTTACCCTCCGAGCAGGATCACTGCTCTCGCGACTCCACTCTGGACGGCCAATGAAGGCAAGCCAGAGGTGGGAGACCTGTTCCTTGTCATCATTCACTCCAGCCAGCCAATTAAGGCAAGCCGGAGAAGAAGGAACGGTGACCTCTCCCTGGAGCACTCGGGATGATGGTAGCCCGCTAATGCCCGTCACCTCGCCTCAAGGTGCCCTGCGGGCTTATTATTATTATTATTTATCTTTCACCTCATTCAAAGTTGTTTCTCACGAATAAGAGATGGCGTTGTCGTTGTTGTTTTTATATTTAATAAGTTGGACTTACTATTGAGGTCTTGCAACACTACGATAGGCTTAGTAACCCTGATTTGTTTTTTTTATCTTTGTTATTCGATACTAGATGGTGTTGTCACTATGATATTTCAATATCTTTCAAATGAAAACGGATATTGTGTCTTTGTTTGCTTGAATTTTGTTTGCACTGTTTTATATTATGGTCATAAGGTCACTTTATTTGTTTAAAGTTTTATAAATTACAGTAATAGTTTAAAATAAACTCATTTCAGTTAGTTACGGAAATACAGTCACTATTACTTGGTACTTCTTTAAATATCAACACCACCGTTATTTTTAATATTACTGCATAGACTCACTTAGTAACACTACTATAGCTAGTACGCATGTCCAGTTTCACTTTTACGTATAGTACGTTTCAAAATATGTAAGAAAACTATTATTTAGCGAATTTAAACACGGAGAGCACGGTAATAGTTTGTTCACTGATGCGCGCCATCTTATTCGAAAAAGTAAAGTATATCTTATTCGAAAATCATTATACATAGGCCAATTTTATACCCATTATGCTGCGGTTTCCGGGTAGCCAAGTACCTGATTGTGAAGAGTATTTATTATTAGACATGTACAGCATTCACACCTACCGGTGCGTTCTAACGTATACGCAACGTCTACATACAATTATCGCCGGATACCCGACAACGACAATAGGAGGGTGTAAAAATTAAAAATTGAAATGTCTAACATTATTCTGTTCCGGGTCATTCAGATAAGACGTAATAATTACCCGATAGATACATATTTCGCAAGAGCTTCTTAGTAGCTCAGCATGTTGCGGCACCTAGTAGATACTAGACCACTCTATATCTAAGTAACGCTGGGCTAGATAGGTAACTAGAGACAGACCCATTCATAACCATAACCCATAATGAAGACCAGTTCGTCTTCAAATTGTCTTTCGATCCGATACCTACTCTCAAATTACAGTCACAGTCATTAATACACCTGCCTACGTGTACGACGTGTACCTACGTGTACCCCTACCTGCAATAATTAACACTTTGGCATTGTTATAAAGCTGTAATCAAAATTCCCACGATTTAAAGGAGCACAGGGCCATGCATGGACTAAACATAGTCCACTAAAGAATTTAGGTACAAAAACAAGGTTACAAGTGACAATACCCATATAAATATGCCCTAACAGGTCATATGCGATCATCTAACTACACAATTACCGTTACTGATAATGGTGTAGATACGCTACGCTGTCTTGTGTGGCCCCATTATATGTTAACAGGAACAGGGTGGTTTTGAATCAGTATTAGGAGTCTGACACTCCCTCTCGCACGCGTCAACCAAAGCGGGAAAAGTCAATGGATGATTTTCCCCCCCAAAAAAACAACGTGTGGTCTCTGGGTGATAAGTTTACAAGACCCTATTACTTATACAAAAAATAGTAGGTAGGTATAATTAATTATACCTAATCGTGCTCTGCCATACATCCCATGCCACTTCATGACCGGCAGTTATGAGCAATAGGTACAAGATCTGACAATCGATTGTCATATCCACACGAGATTACATCGCGTCTTATCAGTGGTCACAGTTAGTTTAGAGTTGGATGTACCGGAGCATTTAGGTGCCAAGTTTTAGTAGAATGCCGTTAATATATCTGTTGTAGGTATTATCTAGCTAGAGATGGACTCTAGTCCTGTCATCAAACTAGTGTTTACTTTGCGAATTTAAGTGTAGGTAACCTCTAGTCAATATGATAAGTTCGCTTTCGCTAGATTTAGAATAAGAATGATAGCAAAATCAATAATCTAATATTTGGATATTAAAACCCAAAAAATAAACTTGACTTGGCTTCACTCTTCACAGAAAGCATTGGTACTGTTTCGGTCAGGTGAATAGACCTAAAAGTGGTTACAATAGTACTGCAGAATAAACATAGTGAACTACAGACTTCTTCGTACGTACATACGGTACATACAGGGATTATTCGAACAGTTGCAACTGCTTCAATCGGTTGACATTTCATCATGCGGTCTACCAGTTGCCAGGCGTACACTGACCTGACTGCTCGAGTTGTCGACTGCTTCCTGCCCCCACCCCCGCCCACGCATTTCATTGCACGTCATTATTTTTTCATTAACATAAAAACTGTTGTCAATGGCAGCTTCAAGCCCAAGGCAGCTTACCCAGGTAAAAATGGAGTACAAGAGTCAACACTCTGACTAGAAGAATGGTCCATGTATGCTTATCACCCAGTGAACTGCTTGAACAGTTCGTATATGGCAGGACTAGATGTAGATCAAATGTGTATGTACTATCAGTAAAAGAATGAAATCATTAAATAAATAAATCAACATACCCAGCTCTTGTGATAGCCCTAGTCTAGACAACAAGTTAGTATCCATTTCCTTGACGCTAAGTCCTAAAGAAATTATAGAGAATACTACAGTACAAATAAATAAATTTTGTGACTCATGAAGGTAATGTACCTACAATGACTAGTTAGAAACCATTGCCAGATTAACACAAAGTCAAAGTCAAAATCATTTATTTCAATTAGACCAGAAAGGCACTATTGAATGTCAACAAATAAAATTAAAAGTGAAGCTATTTGCTCATTCCAAGATGTTGATTCCTGTGGAGAAGAACAAGCAAGAAACTCTATAGGTTACTCTTTTTCAATCAGGTTCACAATACAATTCTCTAGTAACATAGGTTTGTTGTTTGGATTGTGCAAGAACAATGTGACACCAAAATACAGTCAGAGATCGAAAAAATAAACGTAAGGACTGAAAAAAAAAATAGTCAACTAATAACTATTCATATAATTAGGTACCTATTGCATTGCAAAGTAGTATAACAGAAAAGTTGAAATGTGTTAATAAAAAAACATATTCATTTGCTTAAACTATTTATTCCTGTGTAAAAGGTAATGTAATCTCTGTTTGTGGGAGCCATACCGCTATCTGTGCAATAAATTAAACACAAATATGAATACAACTATTTTATTTTCACATTATTACATAATTTCATTGACAATCACTACACTGAATATAACTTAAGGCCAAGATGGAGGGTCCCCAGGCTTAACGGTGCCACCATACAGCATGGACTTATCTCTGAAGTTAGTCATCCTTAGCGTTTCTTGGTCATCCAAGTACTTGCCGACAAGGTAGCCTCCAATGGGTACAGCAAACCAGACATAACGTGTGGTGATGCCGAAGATCGCCATCTTAGTTTTGTGTTTTCTGGTGTTGCAACTTCCAGTTCTTAGTGTGACTCCAGTCGAGGTAAATGAAAGTAGCAGTCAGAACCGGGAAAGATATACTGACCAGGTTGCGGCGTAGGAATTTTACCACCGCCATATACCTGTAAAATAGAATGTTTTGTTGGGTTAGAATATCTGTTTCGTAAAACTTACATTTATGCAGTGTTTCAATTTGCTGGGAGCACATTGATAGGGCTTTTATAGGTAAACACAAATACTGGCTGTAACATTATCAGGAGAATACAAATAATTAAGTAAATCTTTGTATCCAACTATCCAAGGCCGGGGTGGATACTGAATCTGAAGCGTTCACATGTTATTGTTGTCATTTTACTAAATAACACAGTAGTAGCAAACAAGTGATAGGCCATAGGAATATTTGTAATATAATTTTCTGCAAGACACTGTGTATGTTATGATTTATGATACATGGAAAGTAAAATCATTTCTAGTTAGGTCACACACCTAAACTTATAAGATATGGAATGGTTATGGTCACAGTAAAATAAATAACAATGGAAATTCATGGATTATTCTAATTAGACTGAGTAACATTATTTATTATGCAATTGGAAGGTAGGTAGCTAGAATATTTGCAAAAATAGTATTTTAAAATCAGTGTACATATATTGTCATTAATTTCCTATAATTCTTTCAATTAATGGATTGAATATCCAAAGCTTACACTCCCGCAGATTAAAAATATAAAGTTCGCAGTAACACCCATTACAGCTAAACAATATAGGTTACATAACGCATAGAAAAATATTATTTTAAGAGTATCTAGTACACATATCAATGGCACGATTAAGGAACTAATATTATATACGGCTTTAGTAAAGATGTGTACGGAATACGAAAGAAAACTGCGTAAATGTAACCATCCTACACAAAACAACACTGGACAAAATAGGTACCGTGAATTGATAATGGGGAAAAGTTTCAGTGCTGATTGATTTAATGTGAAAATATGAACCCATAAACTGAGTTTATCAATTAATTATATAGATTTTTAAGCTTAAAAATAATGAAACTAACCTAATTCCCAGTGACGATTCAGGAATCAGTTTTCACTGACGTTCCGTTTGACGTTTTAATACAGAATTTTTTCTCGTTTGGCATCTTGGCTTTTTAGTACAACATGTGAACCAATCTGAACAATAATAATTAAACGTAATTTTTTATTCTTCATAGATTTAACCACTATTTCGTCTGCTAATTAAATCTTCCAGCTTTGCCTAAATAAATTTGGATTAGTTTGATGCCAAACGACGGATCAAGCTCAGTGGTTAATGTGCGCACATTTATTAGAGCACAGCAATTCAATTTATAACTAGATAATATTTTATGTTATAATCATATTTATAGTAACATGTTATATTTATTATTATATTAGTTACTAACAACATAGTGATAACTATAAACTTATTTTAATCTTATTAGATTCTACACTGACCTCAGTCAACTCCGCGTAGATCTATATGATGCTTTGAATGAAAGCGATTTGATAAAATTATTCGATTGATTAAAATCTAGCCTAGACTTAGCCTAGACTACACACATACCTAACTCCACAATTATTATAGCACATTATTAATAACTATTATATTTGTTAATAAATTGAACACTCACCGTCACAGTTTGAGTTTCACCGCGGGTTTTGTACGTGAATTATTATTATTGCTTTATATTACGGCACACAACCCCGGTTTGTTTCCGTCAATAGGAACGCAATACAATCGTAGTGATGGTGCGCGCGGTTACGTTGCAAATGAGCGTAAACTTTTATTGGCAGGTAGCTAATGTTAGCTACCTGTTAGCCAATAAAAGTTTTGAAAAATCATTCCTGCCATTTCAGTGATTAGCCAGTAAAAACAGACAGACAGATAAAAAAAATAAAAAAATCTTTTTTTGGGATGTGTATTGTATGTATATTCATATGCATGAAGTAAAAAGCGGTTATATAAACATTACAAACAGACACTCTTATTTTATTTAAATGTATAGTTGTACAACTTAAGTACTTATACAACTTAACTTAAGTACTTACTCAGATACGATGTTCTAAATAATAAGATAAACTTAAAAATGTGATCGTTTGAAATTATAGCACATGATACCTAGGTGTTGGCCCGGTGGTTAGGGCATTCGCTCTTCGAGCGGGTGCAGGAGCATTTACAGGCAGACGATGATGACTGCGTACAATAATATATAACCTCTATATGGTAATGTAATATCTATATATACACGTCTCCAAGTTACACGAGCAACTTAAATAATAAATAAAGAAAATATATCTTATAGCTGTATTCGAGTAAAGGTCCATTTTTGTAAAGCGTAATTAAACTATTCTTATTAATTAAGACTCGGTGGCGAGAATCACTTCTCGTCGTATCGTAGAGGCAGACCAGTAGTAACACCAAATTGGATAAAGGATTATTTCCATTTAATTATAAATATCTAGCCATCCGCCGAGACAGGCATCGGCCTGGATCGCACAACCTCACGGCCCCAGTCGGAGAAGTTGAGATGACCTTGGGTCTATTGGGCAGTAGCCCCCCAGGTATTACACCCCTAACCTGGTTGGAGTGTACTCCTTTTCCGATCTTTAGAAACTTTACTCTCTGTTCCCTAAATATCTGTCTATTGGCTGGTGGTAGTTCAAGGACATAGTCGAGAAATAGGTAAGGCTATAAAAGTTGAATAACCTGATATGCTACTACGTGTATTTGATGGCAATAACATTTTATAATCGATTTTCGAGTTACCTACATATTAAGTAATTCAAAGGATTATTTACACAATATTGACACACGGTGAAGGACAACATCGTGAGCAAATCTGAGCTCCGAATTTCTAATTATTATAAATTTCAAATCATCATTCTGCCTTAAGCAAACGTGGTGATTAATGCTCAAAAGTTCTCCGTGTGAAAAGAAGCCTTTGCTCAACAGTGGGCACTCATAGGCTGTGGATAATGAAGATGATGATAATCGACTATAGTAACTCCCTACATCATTGCTTTGCACTGCAAGACAAACCGTGACAACGTTTCTGAATATTCCACCTCACTAAAACTACCTCAATGTTCATCATCAGTACCTACTATTCACCGTGTTCTTTGAATAGATCGCTCCATTACGGTACATCCCTAGGGATCTCTAGGTAATGTAACGCCAAAGATATAATGTAGGAAATATTATACAGCTTTAAAATAATTTAAAATCGAGTATAATGTAACTACACATGAACTACACGCACAAACGATATTTTTGTCACTTGCTTTTTATTGTAAAATTGCAACTTTCCAAGGTGTTCTGTGAAAGTGTTCAGTGTTGCTAGAAAACATAAATTAGAATTTTAATATGTGAGAATGTGGGCGGTACTTATGTAACTATTGTATTTTAAAAATATTGATGAGGTTTATGGATTCGATAAATAAATAAATAATTTTAAAATATCACTTTATCGTCGTGTAATCTCAATATTGTCAAAATAAAGTAGCAACATTATTCGTATTGATTATGTTGGTAGTACAAAATTATGAGCTGATTTCGACTTGTGCTTGTGCGTCGCGAAGATTTTGACCGAGCATGGAGCGAGCGAGCGAGTGCCTTCGTCATCGTTTGCTGAATTTTCAAGTTATAAATTGCAGTGTAGGGTGGTAAAATTATGTTAACGAAGTGAATAATAAAATTGGTGATGTTGGGCTTAGGCTTATTGTTATTTCGCAAACAAACTGTTAAAGAACACAAGTTTACTGTAGTAATCCGTCGAAAATCGAGAAAGCTTCAAACGTGTTTGAAGCTTTCGTTTTTGCATTAATGGAACTATGAACCTGGACCCTTTAACGTTTAGCTTATCGCAAATCAATTATCTCGTTATAAATTTAAGTAAGAAGAACTTCAAGCAGACGAATCAAGAGTTGACTCAGGTAAGATATTGCCGCTTTACAACTATTCTTTGTTTTCAGTTGTCGCCATATTGTGCATACGGAAAGTCATGATCATTTTGTTGTAATTTAGCATTGACTGGTTATAATTGTCAAAGGTTCACTATAATTAATCGTATATTATGTTACGATGCGCGATATTGGTTGCCAAATCATCTATTACGTGATTCTCGTGTACGCCATTCGATTTGCTACGGATGTGGGTAACTGCGCGCTAAGTAGCAACCAGCACCGTGTCTGGCCTCCTATAAGATTTTTTATTTTTATTTAGTGATCACGTTTACAAAATGGACCTATACAATTTGAGTGACTTCTAACTTGATTACTGTGTATTGGTATTACGTGTGACTGACGCCACTATCAGAAGGTAGGTACTATCGAATACTAGTTTTACTGTAATTGAGTAAGGTATCCTTAACGCAACCATTTATTTTTTTGACTCAAAACAGGACATTCGTTTATTTAGATTCAGTCAGGCATCTAATAGCTAGATCCAATTATAGAACCTGTAAACACAAACTTTGTCCACAACAAAGAGGTTAACATAACTAACTGCACAAAAATGTAGGTATTTAGTTTTTTCGACTGTACTTTATCAAAAATTAGCGAGATAGTTTGACGCTGTATTATTCTCGCTCACAATTTTGCGTCCGTGAGTTCATTTTGGGGACAATGGGACTCGTAATTAGTCCCGTTGGTCACGTTAGGTATCTCTGATGATACAGGCTTGACCTACTATTAGAGATAGTGTTTGTTTAAGTTACAAACTTTCAGTATTGTAAATGCTGATTGTGCAGTTTAAGACTTTTATTTATCTAAAACAATTTACATTGACTTGACTAAGAAATACAGAATATACACAAGTAGGTACAGAATGTGAACCAGTGCCAAAACAATACACCCATATTTATAAACAAACAAATTATTACATTATATTCTTAAAATGTACTAAGTAAATTGACTTTGAACAAATTTAGACAAGGGTAATTTTAAAAATATTGGGTCGGGAACAGCAAGCTTTATGTTTTTATTAATAGGAATTTGCAATGGCAATGGTCTTATTACAATGTAAACAGTGCAAACTGTTGTCTAGGCTATAAATACTTTTTATTTTACAATCATAGATAAACAAAGGCTTTGCTGACAAGGTTTATACCCTAGTATTGTCAAAAGTATTGTGAAAACATTCAACAGTGTAGAGTATTGCTAGAATACTTAACCAACAAGTTGCAACTTGTTTGATGTAACTGATTTCCCTGTGAAAGTAGGCTCAGGGATTAGCAGGCATCTTACAGTTTTAAGTCCGTTATTAGAGAAAATAATTATTTACCTATTGTGAATGTAGATATCTGAATTACTTTGGTAAAACAGTGTTAACTCGTTGAGTACCGTATTTATAGACACAATTACAGAACAATAGGTTGCGGTCACCGGTGATCGCTTGGTGTTTGACAGTTTAATTTAGACCTTCATACTGATTTATTTAAATGAGCATGTGTTTGTGTTTCTACTAGAATAAACTAAATATAGAGTGTAATGGGAAGATTTTTAAGAACTGCTGTGACTCATCACGTTTATTGTGTTTCTTTATAAGATATGAATCAGTTTAAAACAGCTCACTCACACATTTGTTGCACACACACACTCTTCAAATTGTATATAGTATGATTGTGATTAGATATCAATTGGATTGTATAGTCCCAGTTAATCTATCAAAATCTACTATCTGCCTCTAATCTATTTGTTGGTAGATTTGGTTACAACTTCTTAAAGGTGCTGCACACATTTGACCTAGGTATTGTACCAGAGTGTTGGGCCAAAAAAGTTTTATTAGCTATTTTATTTATTTCTTGTATGGAGAGTATTTGGGGCCGACTAGCTTAACTGCCACATATTTTCAATTTGGACACATGGAAAATACAGCATAATATTATGTCATAAAATATTCAGACATTGTGAAACACCTTTATTATTCTCAATTGGAATAGAGTCAAGAATAGTAATGAAAACAAATATATTTATAATATGATGATAATCTATAAATTAATGTTATATACTGTTGAATTATTGTTATTTATGCATTTAAATTGCATTTCAATGGAAGAACTAATTTGTTTGTACCCAATAGCTATTAAGATTTGTCATAAATTTTTGAAAATTTTGATTATAAGGATTCTCTCCTATTAATAAAGCAGAAAAATGAAATATAATTCCAGCTGGGTGATGTGACGCGTGGGGCGAAGGCCTAGGAATATAGGAAATTGATTTTTACATTAAAGAAAAGATATCTCATACTCATCATCATCAACAGCCTTTAAGTGGCCAGTGGTGACCAAAGGCCTCTCTTCACATGGAGAAGGTTTGAGCATTAATCACCACGCTTGCTCAATGGGGGTTGGCATTTTCTAGGCTTATAATTTCTAATTAGAAGCCTAGGTTTCCTCACGATGTTTTCCTTCACCGTTTTTCAGTGGTGTCTAGATAATCTTAGAAAATACATATAACTCGAAAAATTCACATTGGTACTTGTTGTAAGGTTTCAAACTCGCACTCTCATGCATAAGAAGCGGGCATCTTAAACCTACGGGTTATCACCACGACAGGAGATATCTAATTCCCTTCTATTTTCTAGCTTTTCCCGCAACTTCGTATGGACAATTCCGTTTTTTCTCGTCCTCCTAGGACTTTCGGGTAAAAGTATCCTGTCTGTCACCTGGTTCTAAGCTACGGCCCCACCAAGTTCATCAAAATCGATTTAGCCATTCTTCACTTATAAATAGTGTAACTAACTTGACTGTCTTTTATGTAGTACATAATAGACTCTTAATAAGTGATGCAACATTTATTTATTTATTTAATTATCATTATTTTGTCATTACAGATAACTTAACCTAATTCGACATAGTAACTTAAAATATGTTTCCTAAACTATTAACTATAAACTATATTTAACTAGAAACCTATTTAAATTTTAACTGCAAACTATATTTCCTTACACACTACACAGTAAGTGGTCCTTGTGAACTCATTGATCGTCATGAACATAACATAAAGCATAACAAATTCAGCGCACACCCCAGCTAATATTATTAATTTTCTTGTTCAGATAGTGACAAAATGTGTGGCAACACTTTAACTCACATCTTTTTAAAAACCCTCCAAATAAAACTTTGCCAAGCGGTTAAAGATTAAATTACCTACTTACATTGATTTGGTTGTCTGCTGTCTATAAATAAATGGAAAGCATTATGTTTGTAGTCTGAAAGCCCCATTTAAATATTTATTTGATTTTGATTTTAAGTGTTCTTTGTTATAGTGGCATGGCAACAGAAATACATTTAACAATTTTATATGTCTTTACTATTATGGTTCATGAGATACAACATGGTGATTGACAGCCATTTTAGTAATAACCCAATAGGGGCCCATTTTGGGCATGTAAATAAAACGAGCGAAAATAATTAGTCACTGATGACTGATAGACCTTTGAGGTTATTAACTTGTATTGACTGACTTACATTTGGGAAATAATAGTTTAGAGTAGTTTTAAAAAACATTAAATTGAAACTACACCCAGACACGAAAAAATATTATGTAGATCATAAAGAATAGCCTGTGTAGATATAAAGACCCCGGCGAATATGAGTCGCACTTATAAGTCGCTCGAACAGCTACTATGTCAAGTGTTGTGAAAATTTTCCATTGACCTATAATATGGATTTACATTTTGCCTTTTTGTAAGAGGTAGATTTTTTTTCTAAATGTTATTGTCTGCCTATTATTTAGTGAGGTGAAAGTTTTATAAGTATGTATTATAAAACTATGAATTAATTTACAAAACTTTTAAAGAAGTTAAAATGTCAAGATTTTCTATACATATTTAGGTGAAAGTCGAGCAATCGTCAGAATAGAATTTGAAATAACAATTTACCCCTACCCTAACAAAGGTAAACAGAAACCACAGAGCTTCACAATCCATACAAATTTCTTTTAACTTAACCCATTTTATTACAAAATTAAAGGTGAAGAAGACTTACAACTGATTCCTCTTTTAAAAAACTTTTTCGTAAACAATATTTTATGAAAACAGTTCCTGTTACATAAAATTAATTAAAATTTTATTTTGGTCTTGTTGTGTAAGTGTTTTGGGTTGTTCTCGGTGTTTTGAAAATGTTACACTCAAATAGGAATTGTACCCAGTGCGTACGGCAAAATAACATCAATCCCCATCACATGCGTATGTGAAAAATGGGTGTTACTTTGTATATGCGCATCTCTGAAACCACTTAGGTGATTAAAAGGTACGAATGTATATTTAGTGCTTTAATTACCTTGAATCTACTTACACAAAGTTACAAGCAAAAGAAACATAGTACCTATGAACCTACATCATCTAAAATTATCTTAACCCATAAACACTCGACGATGTACTTAACCCGTCGAGCGTCCGCGTTCCTTATGATCCAACGGGTGCACACGTGACATTTGGAGAAAGAAAGAAAGAAAATGCATTTATTTGGCCATTGGCACACGAAAACAAGGATCATTACAATAGGAATAAAAAATACAGTCAAAATAAAAACAAAACATTAATAATAGATTTTATAAAGAGAAAGCAGCATGGAGCATTTTTTCTTATGATCCACCGGGTGCTCATAAGAACGCTCGAGGGGTTAAATCTGTATGGTTGTACGGAGTTGCGAGTTATGCGAGTTTTGCTTCGATTTCCACTTAACTACTTTTTTATATTTACTTATCGTTATGATCTCTTACTCATCGAAACTGTTGCATCAATAATCTGCGTAATAATACAGATCATTTATTGAAAAATAGAAAGATTTTAACTTGGATTAGTAAGATATTGGTATCTAATGTCATACCATGTTGTTCTCTGATAGTTTTACGAAAACGAAACTATACGTTTTCAGTGATGAAATTAATTAAATATTAACGCCTCTGCTACAGCTCGCGATATTACCTAT